CCCCGTGCGAGCCATGGCCGTGGATCTGTTCCCCCAGACCAGGCACTGTGAGTTACTGCTCTGCTTCGAGCGCGTGGAATACCCCAATGGCAGCTCGGCAGCAGCTCAGCCCACGGCAGGAGGGGTCCCCTCAGGGAGCCAGGCAGCTGCTGGCCATGGAGAGTCACCCTGACTCAGAGACACTGCACAAGCCACTGCCTTGCCAGCTGCATCCATAACATCGTGTCTGTGACATCCAGGGAATAAATCTCTGTACAGCAGAGTAGGTGCAAGGCTTTGAGTTCTTTTATCATACTCATGAATTAAATTTCATTATTGTAGAACCACAGAATGGTTTGTTTTGGAAAGGACCTTAAAGATCATCTCATACCAAGCCCCCTGCCATGGGCAAGGACACTTTCCACTAGACCAGGTTGCTCAGAGCCCCATCCAACCTGGCCTTGGATACTTCCAGAGATGGGGCATTAGGTACTATTAAGCCCAAAATCTACTTTTCTCCTCATGCCCATAGTGGTCTCCCTCTTTGAAATGGCTTTAAATAAAGTATTCCACAACTCTATGCAGATAAAACTACTTGAAACCTGGGCTGATTTTTAATGCAACACCACCCTTAGTGAACAGCTGCTACTCACCCCCAGCCAACAGCGGGCACTCCGGAGGGTGTCACTGCCACTGCTCCCCTGGGCTCTGCCAGCCTGTCAGAACCACACCCTGTCTGAGGAGGCAAGTGAAGATGGAACAACTTTAAACCTTCCACAGATCATTTCACTGCTGACTCTTCCCTAGGAAGTGACGAACTCAGTCCAACCTCAGTGCCCCCCTCCCCTCAGCCACAGTCAGTCTGACCAGGCTGGAGCAGCACGGACGGGACAATCAATGCTTGAGTGTCCTAAACCTCAGAGCCAGGCCCTCACCCTGCAAACTGCCCCCAGTCAGGCCATGGCAGGAGAGGGAAGACACTTGTCATTTTTGGTCAAGAGGCTCCTCCTCCTCCTCTCAGTGTCAGTGAGGCTGCTCAGGGGGTGCCTTCAGTCGAGTACCTCCCCCTCAGGAACTTCTGTAGCCCCACTGAGGTGTTCTGATCCTGCAGGAGCTCTGAAAGGGTAACCTTGGCCTCACAGAAAGTGTGCTTCTGGAAGAGCTGTGTAATTCAGGGATCACTGAGGAATGAGAAAACAAGGAGTACAACCTCATCTCCCTCAGTGTTTGAGTTATAGCTGAAATACTTCTGGACACTGGTGCTCTGTCCCAAACCTCTGCCCTGGGCTCCAAAGGATCTTTCCTCAGGTATCTTCCCAGCTGTTTTAGTCGTAGCCCTGTGCAGCAGGAGACAAAGGCAGTTTGTGTTTGAGACAAACCCCCAGCACAGACACACCAGGACAGTGACCCCACTGAGCACCTGCAGCTGCACTTCCCGTGTGTGGAGACAAACCTGGCTGAGAGTCCCAGCCCGGCCCGAGGTGCTCTCCAGGCAGAGTCACTCTCCAGATCTCAGCAGCTGCCATGAACAGACTGTGATCCACACTCCAGAGCAGACAGAGCACTGACTGGGAGAAGGAAAAACCATCTTAAATCTCAAGTTACCAAACATACTTCTGGATACACATTTAATGTGGCCTGAACAACAACAGCCCACAGCTGTGCTGACACCCCACCTGTCCAGTGACAGCAGGTACCAAAAGCAGCACTTTGGGCTGAGACACTCCCACCCTTGACATCATTTAAGTAAAATTACAAATCTCAGTTCAAGAAAACACTGTAATTTAATTCCAAGGGTTTAACCATTTAAATATTCAATTCCTTACCAAGAAGGGGATCAAGTACTTCCCTAACCAAGAAGTTAGAGCCTGCACTAATTTAATTTCTATTAAAACCACCTACAGGACTCAAGGAATAAAAAAGTTCCTTTTTCTAGATATGCTTAAGCCATGGTAATACTGATCACACTGGTGCATTTTATAATATCAAACTTTATTGCTCAAAACTAATTGTCTGAAAAATACACATGTAGTACTCAAAGACCAAACACAGAGGATTACATGATTGTGCAGAAAAAAAGCAAGCAGAGGCTCAGTGAAAATGAGGCTTTATAGTTGTACCAATTTAGCACTGGCATCAAGCAACTGCACCCACCACAACTCAAAGAGCAACCACTGTTACCTGCTCGGGCAGTACGGATGGACTCTGGTTTGTTTTGTTTTCCCACCTCCAGATACACACTGGAATACTGTAACTGATCATTTTATTTGGTTAATAACAGCATGGCTTCTTGCACGTCACATTCCTTCCCACGGAAAGTTAGGAGGATATCACTTCCTAAACTTCACTCCAGGACCAAAGTACAGTTTAGAGAATTAATAAGATAATCATGATGCTTTTAAATACTTGGATGTTACAAATATATTTGTATAAAGCCTAACAGCATCACAGGAGAATGGAAGTTTACATACAACAGTTAAGTTTATGCATAATAGTCTTTCCAAACTTCTGAGTACCCAACTAATTCATCAGTTCTGCCTAATAAATATGTAAAAAAGCTGATGACGGTGTTTCAGTAGGTAGCATCTGACTAGTCACTGCAAGTCACAGTAAGTTTTCTGTCAGTACCATGAAGATTTGAATGCACACTAATTGAATCCTTAAAGTCAATAAACCACACTTTTGTCAAGAAGCACATAATATGCAAAGCAAAACTGTCTAATCCCCAAAGGATGGAACAGTTCTTAAAAATACACTCCATCCCTATAAAAATACCCATCTTCCTCTGGATATAGAAGGGATAAATAACAAGTATCAGTGACAAAAGCAGCAGTTGTTTTATGCATTCATACAATCAGATCTAAACCTTTACAGCCGATTACCTAGAAAACACACAAGTTACAAGACAAGTTTAGGATACATCTTGAATCACACTGTAAGTGTTCATGCAGAAGCTGAAGTTAATGCAATGATCTATCCTCTATCACAGCAGCTCGTGCTTATGTGCAAATGCGAGACTGTTACACTCCAAACAATAGTAAACATTAAAACACAAGAATACTCCACACTGACATCAACAGCAGTTCCTTGTTTGTTCCAGCAGTTATTGCGGGTTCCTGGACATCTCTCCAGTTAAAGGCTGCAGCAAGGTCTGATACCATCGTGGTGGTTGGTTTTTGTTTAGAATGCATAATACACGTTCTAGGCTTTGGTTCACAATGAAATCTCTGGGTGTTTATTAAGGGCAATGGTCACCTTGTGAATCTGATAGTGGCAGAGTGAGGTAATACAGCAATCCTCTTAAAATTAATGAAAACAAATTGGTAAGCGAGGCATCTATGGATATTCTGCAGGTGACCTGCAAATGCATTGACATTCTGGTCTCAGAAAAATAAAAAGATCTACAAGGGTGATTTGTCTTTTACAGTGCCATCCAAGTACAGATTTTTCTGCTGAAAACAGAGAAGCTGAAATAAAACCTATCTATTTAGGCATAGAAGATATAAGCCCTGTCTTTAGGAAAATAAACAAAAAAAAAATCCAATAAAAACGAAGAGACAAACAGCAATCACTGCTTGTCACTGCTGCACCAATATTATATACCCTTCAAAAGATGGAGATTTATTAAAGCTATACAAAAAAAAGCAGAGGCAGTGTTTTTTGTTTCTTTTTTTTTTTAAGACAGGCCACTTCTTTAAATAATAAGTTCATGTATAGTCTTCCAACTACCCGTATCCTGTTGTACCAGGATTACAACTCGTGGAACTAAAAAGCTAAATACAATAATAAAAAAATGGATGGATTTGTATTTGCAGAGACCTCCGAGGGTATCACTCAAACACAGAAACAGGTGAGACTCCAGGACTCCTCCTGTTAAACCTCAAACATCATATGCAACACGTGAGAGAACATCAGCTTGAAATATAAATTAAACTCCACGTATTTCCAAAGTAATGCATGATGTAAAAGGAGGTCTTACAATACTGATGCCAACATTGTTAAAATCCAGTAGGCACTAAATTCAATATACTGCAGCACTCTCCATGTAACACAGGAAATCAAAACCCCCCAGCAAAAATCAAAAGAAAAACCAAAGCAAACAACCCCTGGAGCCCCCAGGTCCCTGTCCAGGTAAGGGGCAGGAGCTGCAGCAGGTGCAGAGGAGTGAGCTGGGTCACTCCCCAGAGCAGGAGGGTAGGACAGAGCAGAGCAGCAACTCCAGGAGTCACTGAAGCACCAGCTCGGCTTTCACTCTCCCCTCGCAGAGCCAACACAGAGCAGCTCCCAGGGCAGACACTGCAGTGCCACAGAGAACCCAGGGATGGTTCCCAGGGCAGACACTGCAGTGCCACAGAGAACCCAGGGATGGTTCCCAGGGCAGACACTGCAGTGCCACAGAGAACCCAGTGAAGAACAAACCCCAGGAGCGGGCCCTTGGCTGCAGCCGCAGCTCCTCCCGTGCTGTGCCTGCCAACACCTCCTGTCTGTGCTGCCCACACTGCCTGTGCTGCAGC